TGGATCCCATCCTGCCCCTTCCCTTTGCTCTGGATCCCACCCCTTCCCTTGGCTCATGGATCCCATCCATTCCCTTGGCTCTGGATCCCACCCAGCTCCTTCCCTTGGCCATGGATCCCATCCATTCCCTCTCCCCCTCCATCCCCCCTCCCTCAGCTCAGGGACCCCAGCACAGGGTGGGGGGGGTCTCCCAGCACAGGGGGGGTCTCCCAGGGCAGGGGGGGCTGGTTTGGGGTGGTGGGTGGGGACCCCCAAACTCACACGTGGAGATCCTGACGGCCCTGGGATCCTCCTGCCGGGGGGGGGGAGCGGCTCCTCAGGGGGGACAGCGGGGCTGGGGGGGGACACACAGAGGGGGGGGGGCTTGGCCTCATGCCCAGCACAGCTGGGGGGGCTCAGCCCCATCCCTGAGGGTTCAGGAGGGGATCAGTCCCATCCCTGGGGGTGCAGGGGGGGCTCAGCCCCATCCCTGGGTGGGCTCAGCTCCACCCCTGGGTGTTCAGGGGGGCTCAGCCCCATTCCTGGGGGTGCACAGAGCGCGGGGGGGGCTCAGCCCCATCCCTGGGGGTTCAGGGGGGGCTCAGCCCCACTCCTGGGGGGGCTCAGCCCCGTCCCTGGGGGTTCAGAGGGGGCTCAACCCCATCCCTGGGGGTTCAGGGGGGTTCAACCCCATCCCTGGGGGTTCAGGGGGGGCTCAACCCCATCCGTGGGTGGGCTCAGCCCCACTCCTGGAGGTTCAGGGGGGTCTCAGCCCCGTTCCCGCCCCTCCCTCCCTTCGCCCCCCCTCCAACCCCACTCACGGTGGGCGTGGCCGCGGCAGCGCTGCAGGACCCGCGCGGTCTTTGCCATCATGTGCTGCGGGAGAGGCACAGGGTCACCCCCTGCCCACCCCTGCCCACCCCTGCCCTCCCCTTCTCTGGCCCCACCCGGCTCCAAAGGATGGGGAAACCCCGATCCCGGCGGCTGCAGGACCCCCCTGAACCCCCCCGAGGGGTCCTGGCTGCGGGAAAAGGGAGGGACCACCCTCCCCTGTGGCTTCAGGGACAATCAGAGACCCCCTGAAGGGTCCTGGCTGCGGGTAGAGGGAGGGGACCACCTTCCCCTGTGATTTCAGTGGCAACCACAACCCCTCCGAGACCCCCCTGGGACCCCCCACAAGCCTCCCCGAGGGGTCCTGGATGCGGGTGCAGGGGTTACCACCCTCCCCAGTGACTCCAGTGGCAATCAGAGACCCCCTGAGGGGTCCTGGCTGGGGGTAGAACGGGGGGGACCACCCTCCCCTGTGGCTTCAGTGGCAATCACAACCCCCTTGAGACTCCCCGAGGGGTCCTGGCTGCAGGAAAAGGGGGGGACCATCCTCCCCAGTGGCTCCAGTGGCAACCACAACCACCCTGAGACCCCTTGAGGGGTCCTGGCTGTGGGTAGAGGGGAGGATCACCCTCCCCTGTGGCTTCAGGGGCAACCACAACCTCCTCAAGACCCCCCCAACACCCCCCTGAGGGGTCCTGGCTGCAGGAAAAGGGGGGAACCACCCTCTCCAGTGGCTTCAGGGGCAACCACAACCACCCTGAAACCCCCTCGAGACCCCCCCCGAGCCCCCTCGAGGGGTCCTGGCTGTGGGTAGAGGGGGGGAAACCCTCTCCTGTGGCTTCAGTGGCAATAACAAGCCCCCCGAGACCCCCTGAGGGGTCCTGGCTATGGGTGGAGGGGAGGACCACCCTCCTCTGTGGCTTCAGGGGCAACTACAACCCCCCCGACACCCCTCTGAGACCCCCCCAAGGGGTCCTGGCTGCGGGTACAGGGGGCACCACCCTCCCCTGTGGCTTCAGTGGCAACCACGACCCCCACGAGGCCTCCTGAGGGGTCCTGGCTGCGGGGGAAGTGGCACCAGCACCACGGAGAAGCCCCAGATGGGCACCCCAGGGGGTGGGGGCACAGCAGGGCCCCTCGGGGGGGGTCCCCGGGGGTCCCCCACTCACCATCTTCTCAAAGTTGATGAGGTTCTCGGCCCACGTGCGGTTCCCCTCGTGGATGAACGTCATGTCTGGGGGGCAGGGGGGGTGATTTGGGGGTCAGAGGGGTTTCCCAGGCCCTGGGAAAGGCTGGATGCACCCAAAGGGGGGCCCAGGAGACCCCCCCCAGACCCACCTTTGAGGAGCAGGGGCACGAAGGGGATGAGGGGGGGGCTCATCTTGGCCACGGCCAGGCGATACACACGGTGGTTCCACGAGGGGTCCTGGGGGCACAGCGGGGTCTGGGGGGGGGGCACAGGCACCCCCAGGCCCTTTTCCAGGGGGAAATCCCACTGGGAAGATGGGGGGGTCATGGGGGGGGTCATGGGGGGGAAGGGGCTGCGCTCACCAACATCCGCTCCAGCGCCGAGTGCAGCTTCCGGATCTTGTGGGGCAACCTCTGCACAGGGAGGGGGGCACTGGGTTGGGACCCCCCCGGCTCTGCCACCCCTGAGACCTCCCAGGGCAATCCCACCCC